TACCCTAGTTGGTTGAATAGGTCTTAGTCAACCAAGCTGGCCCACCGCGGATCGGTTGACTTCACACATACCTTCGAATGTCTTCGCCGATATGTGTAACTTGTATCAGGTTGTTTTCCGTCATCGTAAAAACGTCGGGTACATATAAATAATTAGTTATAGTTATTACTATATTTTTGTGCATATTTAACATATACGGGAGCGAACTTAAAGATACAAAATGACGTAATATCAAATTGTTTACGACTTTAAATTATTTCATGTTAACTTTTGCCTAATTAAGTTTAACTAACTTTGGTTTATAATTAAAACTTAAGTCGCCAAGGGATCTAAGATATGATAAACACAAATAACATACGACATACACAAATACGTAAATCGATTAAATTTTATCTCTGACCATTTCATATATAGAGAAAATTACGTTAAAGAAGTGTTGATATAATATTCTTAAATCTTCTAAATATACAGTATTACTATTTATTTACAAATAACAGGATTATTGAATCTAAAATGAACGAGAAAAAAAGTCGCAAACAAAACTATATAAAATCAATCTAAATTGTACAATTGAATTCAAGTGTAAAACGTAAACGGTGTGCTTATTTCTGATAAAAAACGTTATTGCAAAGAAAATCGTTTGTAGAACGCCGAGAAAATTGCAAGCAGCTATTTTAACAAGATTATACTCTGGCTTAGAATTCACTTCTCAATTCTAGTATTACAATCTGCTAAAATTAATTACAATTACTGTTTGTCCGCTGGGAGGATTTAGTTTTTTTGTACATAAAAGAAAATAACAGCCATTACGTTTTATAGCAGTACAATAAGCTTAAGTGGTCTAGTGCATTTCTAAATTAACTGCACTTTGCGATAGGTAAAGCTAGAGTTTAAATTAATGTTAACATGTTTAGGTAATTGCGGGATTTAAAAATCCAACATTAACTTTTATCTATACTAATATTATAAAGAGGAAATATTTGTATTTTCGGATTTTTGTATGTATTAAAATAACTCAAAAAACACGGGACAGATTTCAAAAATTCTTTCAAGATTACAAAGATACGCTATGACTTAGAAACATAAGCTATATTTTTTTAATTTAACTTCACACAGACGAAGTCGTATTCATTTATCTTAAGTATGGTATACTGGTCAACATTTAAATTCCTAGACTACGTAAAGGCAAAAAAAAATATCACAATAGGTGGAAAATTTACACATCTAGAGGTAATTTCTAGAAATTCGATATTACATCTTGGAAAACATTTAAAAATGCTTTTATATGTTTTATTTTAAATTTTACATTTTCCAGGACCTTAACTGATTTTTTTCTAACTGTCTCGTTTAAAGAATTCTATTCTATAGTAATTAGTAAATAATATGCTTTAAGTTGGGTTGTTTTATTTAGTTTTATTATTGTCTCTGGTCCACTCTGAAATGAAAGTCGCTGTTAATTAAAACTACTTTCATATTTCTAAACAACACTCAGTTACAAACTAAAAACTAAGCTAATTTGTTACGTTAGTTTAATCTGTAAAACCGACAGCGGCCATTATGACCACAGGTGGCGTAGTTAGCTCTTAACCTACTTTTACAGGTTGGGCATTTAAGTTAGTAAATAACTAACGGAAAAGTTATATCACTTATAGATACTAAAAGTATTACATAATATAAAATATGATACCACGGAGAAGATATTACTTACTTTATATTTTCTTTCCTACGTATCTGCTCTTTTATTATAACGAAGAAATAAAAGACTGCCTCATTTTTTAAACTTAGTGTCAAAGTATTGACGCAATATATCTCAAGCCTTTTTTTAAATGAACGATCGTAGTTTATAGTATAATTGAAATATAAAAAATGCCAATAATCATAGTTACTTTTACAATTCCTTGTAATAATAATATTCAACTATTGTAGATATAAAACCAGTGAGTTTTTTTTATTGGAAAAGGGCTTTCGGCTAAAGAGTTTTATAATTCCATCAATAGTTATTGGATTGTGTGTTTTCTTATAAAATCCATAGCTTTAAATTCATGAAAGTCGGTCAAAAGGACTGCAATTCTACGAGTATTACATCAAACGGACAACCCTTATGCATAATTCTAGTGGGTCTCTCTTTAAAGAATTCCTTGCCACTTTATTGTATATTTATATTCATTTCTACGTCACAGAATCAACTTATATCGTCTTTCAAACTGAATACAAAACCGAAATCTATCTTATATTCATTGATAAACTTTATCCAATCGTATACGTTGTCGGTCTTAGGAAAATATGTTCTTTCAAAGCACTTTTTTAATATTCGCATTTGTTTAATCTATACTATTATAATAAAGCGTAAACACACACTTCTTTGTTGCCTAAGATGTCAGCAATTACAGCATGTTTTTGAATAATTCTTTCTTTAATAAAACGCCCTACACTTATGTCACGCTTTAGGCTATGTATTTTCACGCTATTAAACTTAGTCGGTAAATATTTTGGATAAAAACCCTAATGTGGGAAAGATACCATAAGTTGCTGCCAACATCAAGGAAGCAAGATTGCCATAGTAAAGTATTATAATTAGTATTTTGACATTTGCAATTGAGAATTTGAGAAATGCAAACAAAAAATTTATAAATTCTTGCGGATGAAGCCGCACGCGAACATCTAGTAATAAATAGCTTAACCATGCATATTTATTTTGTGTTTTCATTTCAATTATCTTAATGTCTTAATTTAATTATCTTAATTATCTTAATTATTTAATTATCTTAATCAATTTTAAACATAAAAATAATGAATATATTTTAATAAACTATCAAGTATCTACCATCCAAAGGGATAAGTTTTTTGTTTTGAGACTACGAAGCTACGATGCTACGAAGTTGTTCGTAGCGTTTAGTAGTTCTTAAACTTGCAATTAAATTGTATTCTAATTGAATACAGCCATAAGCTCTTAATCTTAGGAGAATAAAATGCATGAGCATAGTTCAGTTCAATCGCTATAAGTAACAAATACAATATTATACAAAGACTTGAAAACAATAACTTGAAATTGTCTACGCAAGGCAAACTTATATGTAATTTACTAAAAATATTTGGTAATCCTTTTCGTGTGACACATAAAACGACAATTACGGGCCATATTTTATTACTAATCGGGTTACATAAAAAGCGCTGTGTAATTCAACCTACTAGAGCATAAAAAGTCTCCCATTTTTTATATAAAATTACATACGCACGATAAAAATGATGTTGTAACTATTGATTCATGTAACCCGAGCCTCCAATAATTTCTCTTTTTAGTGTGTTCCAAATATGCGACGGACGAATTAGGCCACAATATTTCCGAACGATAAATTATAAAAGCGATGTCTTTGGGGATCGGCTCGAGCGTTATGGCGTCGTAAATAATGGCCGGAGACGTTCGTGTGCCCGCCAATATCTACGGAAGGAACTCGCCTATGACACCGCGAAATACAACTGCTTCCCTTGCTAGACTCCAATATTTTTGATATTACCAAAGACTAAACTTATCGGCAAACAGACTGGACAACACGTATAAAATAGTTACTAGTGTTCGCCCGCTACTCCGTCCACATGGAATTAAAAAGAATGAGTAGTCTATATGTTCTTCCAGACTGTACTCTAGGTTAATGAAAACTTTTATCATGATCCATTCAACAGTTTAGGCTACAAACTCTAACAAACATCCATCCATTTAGACTTTTACATTTACAATATTATATATGAGTAAATAAGTAATGTTACCAATGGGTAACAAGTCTAGACCGAGACGTTTAAATGTGAAGTGGCATTTGTTTACACTAGAAGAGTTCTGTTCTACCTCAATTATTTTAATCTATGTATTATGGAGAGACATTTACGACCTTTTAACCACTTCTTTAATATATTGCAATTGACCTTTACGACTTATTACAAGGATAACCTTTTAAACTTCAAAGGCAATATAACATTTCTTCAACTAAAGCCAAATTAAATTGTCGATGTAAGATTGGGTATACGTCTAAAGCATTATTAAATCTTCAAAACACGCAAAGATATGAGATTTTGAAGGTATACGGAATCCTAATTCTTAAAGAAAGTTGTTCCCAAAAGTATACTCTTGATTTTTTATAGTGTGGAGGTATTCATTTATTGTTATTTTTTAGGAAGTTCTGGACAATAATATTCATTGACCACGTGTATAAGAATGTATGCGGCTAACAGCGCACGTTTTTCTCTGTTTCAGCTTGGATTACCTTGGGTCGATGGGGGTGGGTTGATGGGGTTACATATCATGGAAATTGTAATATCTTTTTTCGAAGGGTCGATGGGGATGGTGGGACTTAATTGTCAAGGAAATTGTAGTATTTTTTATGCATTCTTATTATTGTAACTCGTATTTTCGCAGGCGGTTACGAGGAGATCGCGACAATCGACCTCAGTGCAGTGGTCGCGCTCGTTCCGAGGCAGCGTACCCGCTCAGGTCGATGACGATATCGATGACGTTTTCTTTGCTCCTGTGCCTATGACGTCACCGATCAACCAACACCATCACGACGAAGTCGACGTTGCTGATGGACCGAAAGGGTAACTACTGCAAATTACATGATAACTTTCTAATGCTCTATGAGTATGTACACAGTAAGTTGCAAACAAGAGAATGGTGAATGGGTACTTTACTAAGCTAGCGCATACCATCCTTCGACCACATGACCAATTAACATTATGTGGCATCGTGGTCAAGCATTAGTTAAAACATCATTGAGAAACCGAAATAACTTCGATGTATACCTTCAATGTACAGTCAAAGTTATTATATCGAAATGATTTTGACAAGAGACTGTAGAAACTGTATTGACCGTTCTGTTTTTACAAAATTGTTAGGTTTATATTTACATTATCGAAGTTTTTACTAATCAAAAATACGACTCTTTAAACACGTGTAAAGTTGCACTAATATAGTAAACCATCGATCACTTATACATTAAAATTACAGTTCCATGAAATGGAAAAACTTATTTTGTTATCTGACATCTAAAGGTCAAGAATGTAATTAAGTTAATGAATGCGGGCTTGCAAGTGCATGCATAACTAAGTTAAATGTAAAGCATAAACATTCTCCACGGTTAAGTTGACTACTGATGATTAATACAATAATTTTAAGTTACGATCACGCTATTTAATAATAAATATTTAATTGATTTTAATAATTTAGTTTCTTTTTAGATTTAGATTGTTTCATGATGAAGTAAACATTTTGTCATTCTTTTTTTATATTATTTTGCTGAATCTCTTTTTAAGCCGGAGAATTTTTCAATTTTATTATTCTCTTAATTTGCGAACTCTACATTTAATTCAAATTACATTTCTTGTTATTTGCATGATAAAATGTTCATCAGCAAGCTTGATAGATGTAATATTAACCATTGTGCGTGAAAGTCCTTTTTATAGTTTTCAATATGTGATATTTTCTATCGATTGGAAAAATGAGTGTTACAGCAAAATGTAATATCATTTGTTTGAATCATAGTATTACTAATGCTTGTAGTTAATGAAACGAAGTCTGTCACAAGCTACAGCCAACATACAATCAGTTAACCGCATAATGCACACCCTCAGTTAACTCTATGACGAGTATTAGACCTGCATTGTGAGGGACAACTAACGTTTTACTACAATGGGTAGGAAAAAAACATCCTTGAATATACGTTTTAAGGTCGGTTTTCCAGCTACTTTCAACCATTCGTTAGTATTTTTGATTCAATAACTTCATGATTTGCGTTTCCGAACTACTCGAGTTTTACTCTGTTGAAACTTAACCTAACACTAATGTATCAAAAGGCAACGATAAAATAATCCGTCCGTTTAGTTAAGAATTGCACAATGTTCAGTTCAGTTGAAACTGAAAGAGTAGCATTTAGTTAATTGTACTAGAGTCAGCTCAGCGTCGAGCTCTTAATACATCGTCATGTTGCGCTTGATAGATTAATTAGCTTCTAATTATAATAGTACGTTTCATTGTGAACTCGCCGAGGAACGAGACGGGAAGTTGTTGTGAAAGTTATTGTTTAACTGTTTATTGATTAAACGCCATTGTGCGCTAAGCAAATCGTTCTGTGATTTAAATTTCCTTCCATTTCTCAATCACTACTTCTGTAGTATTTGATTTGCATTTAATTTGTTATTCCTCGTCCATTCTTTTATTACAAAACGTTGATTTGTTATTCATTGCATTAATTTTACAATTAACTAATTATGCAAAAAAATATCTGTCAAGGTTTTAAATCGCTTGTAAATATTTTTGTTGTATAAATTTCGATAACTTTCTACGCGTAGACAATATTCTATATACATCTGTATGAATATATACAAGGGTATATAAAATAGGCTTAAGTCAACTATGTCAAGAGAATAGTGATAAATTGGCAATATACGAAATCGAGGCTGGAATACTTAATACGATGAGCATATGTAAGTCGAAGCGGAGATTAAGTCCGCGATTTCTGCGACCCTTGTCACAGAGATCTGGGGGAAGGATACCCACGGATAAAGACGCGTTATACACTTAACATTATTGCACGGACATTATTGGATATCAATCATTTGTACAATTATCTTGTAATACAATTTGTCATAAAGTTATCGAGATGATTAATGAATGTTCTTCGAGGATTTCATATTTGTTGTTTGTCACTACTCTAATTTGTTTAAGAAGTCGACTTTCATTTATTTTTATTCCTATTCTCAATGCTTACGTAAATAAACTATACTTTCATCACTTTTAATGTCTAAATTGTAGAAATTTGTACCTTAAAGCTTACTTTTAACATCACACAGTACCCATTTTGAAATGGGTATGGTACACAATGCGATGTTTTTAATCACTTTTTACTTTTCCTAACAGATAGTACTGAATGACAAAAAGCCTTAAAGTCATGACGTGAATCCAATTGGATTGTGGACGAGTTGTTCGGGAATGCGGACCTGTTCTCTCAAATGTACATTTAGCGTTTATGTTGACAGCGGTCGTTCGCCGGTGGTGTCTGGCGTGGAGTACAGGCGGCCCGAGAGGAGCGTCTCATGGGGCGCGGGGGCGGCGTGCGCCGTGGGGGGAGCACGAATACACACGCCGATGCTCGAGCCGTTGGCAGACAATTCGAATAGGAGGCAATTTGGCATGGGCATTGTCGGCAGATTCTTCCGGTGAGACTTTTATTGTATATATGTTTATACAGCGTTTGAGGAGATTGAGGAGATGGATCTTTATCTTGCTAATAGTATAAATATAAAAGTTAAGATGGATGTATGTTTGTTAGAGTTTGTAGCCTAAACTGCTGAACGGACCTTGATGAAATTTGGCAGAGCTTTTTAGGATAGTCTTGAAGGACACATAGGCTACTTACTTTTGCTTTTTTCAATTGCACTCAGACTGAGTCGCGTGTAGCTAGTCACATATAGTATACAAAATCGGTATATATTTTATATGTTGCTTCTTTAATAGTTCTGAGATTGTGTGCAAGATGTTTAGTTACTAAGCCTATATGTATTTCAATGCTATAATTTGATACTAACGTCGACCTTGCAGGAGGATTACAATAATACGGGCTTGATCCGTTTACGAATATATCACCTGCGTCCACAATATATCACGGTGTTTACTGGCCCAGTTGCCATTTAAAAGTTGCCTTAATGGGTTTTTGAATTAATACCGCGTGGACGTGACGCGGGATAATATTTATGGGATGTCGCTTTATCCCTTGATGCTTTTTGAGTTATTATGGTGGTTGTTGATGGTGATTGCGTTATATTTTTATGGTAATAGGCGTAAAACGAGCAAGCAACCTGAATTTTAATGACAGCCGCTATCGCTCATTCTAGTCATTATTAAAAATGGTTTTAATGGAAGAACATTCTTTAAATCTCAAACGGTTCTTAGAACCTAGCACATTTTTAACGCAATACAAAATTATAACCTAACTGCTGCACGGGTCTCGATGAAATATGGCTTAGATGTAGTCCATAGTCTGGCACACATAGGATACCTACTTTTGT